CTTCATGGTAAAAATGACTACCGTATGCAAAAATATGCTATTTTTGTGTTAAAATTCTGGGTTTTGTATTTTATTTTATTTTAAAATACCTGACAAGGGGAGTACAGATTTTCATAAATATTATATAAATTAAAATTGATATAGTATAGATAGTTAAACTTATTTAAATATGTTTGTTTCTTTTAAGTCGAGAAAAATAACTTTGAAATTTGAACTAGCTTAAATAGCCAATTTTTCAACCGCCGGAAGCAACGTACGGTTGCCGAGTTGGTAAAATTTATGTTTTACACGCTTGGGGTACGAGGTTCCAACCCGCATATGGCAATGAATTTTTTGCATTTTTTCTTAATTCTTTTTAAGTTAGTATAAATTTTAACTCGTTTGATTTTTATCACATTTAGATTCAATAACTTCAATAAAGATCAAGGATCCCATCACTTTAGTCGCCCCTTGCAAGAAGAAATTTCTTATTCGTATTAAAATTATTTTACTATATTTTAAGTTTTCGCTTCGATGCAAAGCCGAGAAGATATTTTTTTGTGACTATCATTTATTTTCTCTGCTCTAACTTGACCTACTTTTTTCAACAATACGTCAAATTACTACAATTCGTATCTAGTTGAAGATATTACTCTCAAAAATTGAAAAAAAAATTCTAATTTATCAATTAAACAGTTAGTTATTACATCGTCTCCATAAAGACAATTAAAATCATTAATTTCTAATGTTTTCAAAATATTTATTAACGAATGAAGTTTGATATGATAGGTTTCAACTACAAAATTAAATCATTTTACTTTGTAATTTAATAATTTTATTACTCTGTTTGTGTGTGCTACTATTAGACTATAATATTCAAATTTTTTTCTAACGTGTTGCTATATAAATCATTTCTAAAAAAAATGATTGTTTTTTCTCCTGAATTAACAATTGATTTTTACAAATATAATCAAATTTTATAATAAACTCAATTGAGTAAATCTTTTTAACAACTTTGTTTTGATTGGTACATTTAGTTAAAGTAAATCATTAAAATTAATTAAGTTCTCAATATTTCAATTATAGAATCTTTTCAACAAACAACAAAAGTTCCTAGGAAATTATTACTATTACTTCTATTTAAGTTATCTATTACCATAAAAATGCAAAAAAATATTGAGCTTTTCTGATAAATTTACAATAAATAGTAATTATAAAACTTTCTGACTGCATATTGATCTTAACGATACAATTTTTTTAATTGTCATAAAATTTTCTATTTAATTATGTCAATGTCAAACTTACCAATTGAGCTAAAAGTTATGGTAAAATAAATTTTTTTTTTTTTTTATAAACATTTACAACAATCAACTTTAAACGATTAACAAAATTGGTTAAATATGTCATTTTCCTTATTTTTAACTTATTAATAATCAAATTAATATTAAATATTATATCAAATCAGTATTAATTTAAAACAATTTTTTTTGTTCTTAATTATTTTTTTTTATATGTAAAAACTATTTTTTAATAATATTAAAACTTAGAAGTTATAGAAAAAGTCTAATTGCACATTTTAAAACATCGCGAAAAGTTGATTTAGAATAGTATATTTTTGTTTCTGATGGAAGTTCCTTGTAGTCCAGTGTATAAAACTTATAACTTTGTTAATTGTTATAACTTTATCAAAAATGACCAAATCAGTATATTTTTTTTTATTTAGATGCATGTCTTTATCTATCATTTGGTTTTTTTTATAAATCTAACCCTTTACCTGCCCACAAGAGGGATTCAAAATATTAACTTTTTTTTTTTTAGTTAAAGTAAATCATTAAAATTAATTCAGTTCTGGATATTTCAATAGTAGAATCTTTTTAAATATCAAAAATTACTTAGAAATGATTACTATGATTTCTATTTAAGTGTTCTATTACGATAAAAATGCAAAAAATAATGAGTTTTTCTGATAAATTTACAATAAATAATAATTATAAAACTTTCTGACTGCATATTAATCTTAAAAATAACATTGTTTTAATTCTCATAAAATTTTCTATTTAATGATTCATTCTAGTCAACGAAGGAGTAATTTTGCAGAATAGCAGAAAAAATTCCCAACAAACTTTTTTTTTTTTTGTTTTAATTAGGCAATTGGTGGATTATTCCAAAAGCAACATCAACTCTTATTTCTTTAATTATATCATGATTAGTAGTTCTTTGATTTTAAAATATAATATTTGAATATATACTAATTATAATTATTAAATTTAGTATGAAATTGATATTTAATATTGTAATTTAAACGGAGAAATTATAAAAATAATAAAGAAGTTATATTTTGCTTTACTTTTACGTGTATAAAAATTTAAAGGGCTTGATACAATAATTTTCAATAAAAACTGTTTGTTACTATAAAAAAATGCACTGGACTACAAGGAACTTTCATCAGAAGCAAAAATATACTTTTCTAAATCAACTTTTCGCGTTGTTTTCAAATCTGCAAGTAGACTATTTCTATCACTTCTAATTTTTTATATTATTACTAATTATATATATAAAATAATAATTAAAAGAAAAAAAAATTTGTTTTCAAATTATTACTGATTTGATTTTTAATATGTTAAAAATAATCAGTCCAAATTTTCAATTTTAACCTATTTTTTTGGTTCTTTAAAGTTGATGAAAAATTTTTGATAAAGATTTATGAAAGTTTATAGTAAAATAAATTGAATATATTACCATAACTTTTAGCTCAATTACAAGTTTAAAATTGACATCTAGGCCAGTCAACAAAGGAAAAATTGCGGAAAAAATTTTGTTTTTTTAAAAGTTGAATTAAAATATGTATAATGACATACTAATAGTCCTCAAGATTGGAATTGAGCTTTTTTTTTAAATCCTCGCAAAAGTTCAAAAATATGAGCTTTCTTAATTTTCTCAAAAAAAAATATTTAACTTACAAAAAAAAGTTTCGCACAAAAGTTGTTTAAAAGACAATTATAAATAAAAATATAATCTTATATTTTTTCATTTAAACAAATATTTTTCGAGTTACATTACATTTAATATGAGTAATAAAATTTATATTCCATTTTTTTCATTTTACGGTTACTTTTTATCATGTTATACTTACATTAGACACAATGTTATAAATGCATATGTGTGTATGTGTGAGTTTATTTATTTATTGTATCATTAAAGTGTAGTGTATATTGAGATACAACCGATAGAGTAGGTAATTGATTTGACGCTATATTATTTAAACCCAACTAAACGCTAAATTGTACATTCCGAAATAACAATCATATTATGTCAATTGCCACCGGAATATCTGGTAATATTTTTCTTTTTCTTTGCCTTAATCCCAACTACTTGGGGTCGGGCACCCTTATCCTAAGATTCCACTTGACACGATCTCCCACATCTTCTACGCTCACATCAGCTGTCCTCAAATCGCATTCAATAGCATCCCTCCATCTCTTTTTTGGTCTTCCTCTATCTCTTCTTCCTTCAACATTCATTTCTATAACTGTTCTTACAGCTTTCGATTCTTCTTTCCTCATACCATGACTAAACAATCTAAGTCTATTTTCTGTCATCTTATCCACGATTGACGCAACACCTATACTTCCTCTTATATGCTCGTTCCTTATCCTATCTTCTCTAGTCACTCCACTCATCCAACTAAGCATTCTCATCTCTGCTACACTTATTCTCTGCTCTACTTTCTTATCAACCGCCCAACACTATTAACCATACATCATAGCTGGCCTCACAATTTCATACTAAATTTAAAAACTATAATTAGTATTTATTCATATATTATATTTTAAAATCAAAGAACTACTAATCAGGATATAATTAAAGAAATAAGAGTTCATGTTGCTTTTAAAATATTTCACCAATTTCTCTAAAGGAAACACTATCTACAGATTTGCATCGAAGCGTTTCTTATGATAGTGATTTTAATCACTGTCAGATATCATCTATACTTATCTCATCTATGCCACGTCTATACTGTGCCTCGACTCCACTGTGCTACCGTTTTTTTAAATTAATTTCTTAATTTTTATAAACTTATTTTTAAAAGTTCATTTTCAAAAATATTTTTAAATTTATTCTTTAATGATGCATTTATGAAAATTTTGATTGCTACTTTTAAGTATAAGGTCTATGTAAAAAATAAATAAATTAGTATCAATTACCATATTAGTGATAATATGGTATAAAAAATTTAGGCAACTAGTGATNTGATAATATGGTATAAAAAATTTAGGCAACTAGTGATGCCATGAGAATTTTTCACATTTTTAAATACTTATTTAACAGTATTTAAAAAAATAGCTAATGGTCAATGTTATATTTTTAGCACTGGCCTCTTATCATTTAATGTTAGTGTAGTATATTATACTTAAATATAATGATTAAATAATATATAATTATACATAATATATGCATTTTGAACTATAAAAAAATTCAAAACTATTAAATAAAAATCTGTAATGTTTGAAATTATCGTTAATATTATGCTTATTAAGATCTTTAATATTAAAGCCGCATAATTTTCATATGTAGCGAAAAGATTGTAATATCCAAACTAAATATTTTGTAGACATTCTTTTATTTAAATAAAAATTGTTTTTCTTATTAATATAGTAAGAATAAAATTTAATATAGTAAAAATTCATTTTTTATTATCTTAATAAGGAGATATGATTAATAACTGAAAATTTTGGCACATAGAAGGTTGGGATTAAGGAGTTGTAATCCTCATCCCTCGTAATTGAAAAAATTATTGAATTTTAGTTGTTTTGCCCTTTTCTGCAAGTTTATTTTAGAATTTTAATCCTTATAATCTTATGCTGAAATTAAAACTTATGTTATTTATAATCTAGTTCAATGAGTATTTGTGATAAATGGCTAACTATGGATTCAGAGAATTTATCATAAATATATTCAGAATTTTATTCTATTACAATTTTAACTATTTCGATACATAGTTAAAATAAAATAATTAACACTTTCATAATTTCAAAACAAAATTTATATTACTAATTATATATAATATAATATAATATTTATATATAATATAAATCTTAAAACATAATTAACACAAAATTGGAATGTGTCAGAACAAATAATTTAAGGTCATTAACAAAATTTTATATCTTATTCTTGTATGTTAATAATTGCTAAAGCCAATGGACAATTTTCACGTATATATATTTTACAATATTACACAAGCACAACAAAATTAAAAAAAAATATTACAACAATATAATAAAGTTATATTTTACTTAAACCCCTCATTATTGAAAAAAAAAAATGAGGTTTATAATTTAATATAATTAAATGAAAGTATAAAAATAGTTAATTAATTTTAATCTACAAATTTTTTAACATAAAAATGTCATATATATAAGTCAGATATAGTTATTTAGTAAGAGAGGAAGAAATAATTTGAGCTATAGAATTAGCCGATTCACCTTTCACTATTTGTCTATGATCTCCAGAAACAGAATGAACTTTGACTGTACCTTTGCATAACTAAACAAAAATCAGAATTAAATTAAGACACAATTTTAGATAAAACAAATTTATAATTGCTCAATGAGGATATTTACAGGTTTCAGTCCATAATCAGGTCCTAGAGAAACAAAATTATCTTTGGCTGTTACTAGTGTGATATTACCACTAAATTTTTCAGGTTTATAATAGAATGAAACATAGAGCTTGCCATGAAAAAGTTTGGCAGCAGTTTTCAATTCTTCTTTACTCACTGGTAAGTCAGATAGGATATTCACTACTTCATCAAGTTGATCTTCTTGAGTTTTTTTTGATGATATTTGGTCAAACACCTATTCATATATAAATTATAGGGTTTGATTAAAAAAAAAAATGATGAAAATTAACAATATTATTATAATATTCAAATATAAATATACTAATTATTCAACACTATTCGAGAAGTATACGTGTAATATTAAATAATATTAAATCAATGAAGACTTACCTTTTGATAATCTAGTTCTTTAAATAACATTACAAAATATGTGTAAGCATCTCTGTCATCAACTTTGTTATCAGAATGTCGGTTTTTAAAAGCATTTTGATGAGTTAAAACATATACAGGTGATCCATCTAAGAGAACAAGGTTGACTTTTTCACCTAACGCTTCAAGGTTCACACCAGTTTCATATGCCACTGCAGCGCCAAATGAATAACCAACTAAATTATAAGGACCAGTTTTTTGAATTTCTTTAATTTTCTAAAAGAAATAAATAATTAGCTTAAGCTTGTTCAGCATAAAAAATTTAAAAACTTACAGAAATAAAGAATTTAGCTAAAGATGTCATGGAATCTGTAGGAACATCTTCAGTACACTGAAGTCCGTAAACATTAAATGATAATTTATTAGCAATTTCTTCTAATGATGAAACAAAACCTTCAATGGCACTAAACATAAACAAGTTAGGTTTGGTGTTTTCATCTTTTTTCATGCTGACTACTGTTTCATGAGGAACTAAATTATTATCAAATTGAACCTATTTAAAAAATAAGTATATTAATAAATATAAAAACCCAGCACAGGGGGACTGTCAGACTTTCCGGAACATTTTCAAAAGTCAAGTTGAAAAAGTTCTACTTTCTATATGCATTTTTATTTTTTGAACCCCCCCTGTATTAAGGGAAATGGTCCGATTTAAAAAAAAAGTATGTCGAATTAAAGAGGTATATAAATATTATTTCTTATAAAAAAATTGTATTGATTCAATACATTTTTCATAGATTTATAGCGTTATAAAGTTAAAAATAGGAAAAAGAATTTTTTTACAAAAATCGTATTTTTTTTATTAACTTTGATGACTGTTTTCACCATGAAAACAAAATAAAGTCCGAAATTTTTTTTTTAATATTAAAGTATATTACATAAGCTTTAATTTAAGATATATATAAAAGTGTCAGTATTTCCGGAACACTTTCAAAAGTTAAGTTGAAAAAGTTGTCATTTTGAATCCCCCCATGGGCAGGTTTAGGGTCAAATTTATAAAAAAAAATATACCAAGTGATAGGTAAAAACATCAAGCATCTATAAAAAAAAAATTATATTGATTTGTTCATTTTTGAAAAAGTTATGGCAGTTTTAAGTAAAAAAAATTGAAAATTTTTCGAAAATTAGCGATTAAAATTTTTAAATTTGTAATTTTTTTGGAGATTTCCCCCATTTGCGGGGAACGAGGGAAAATTTTACAATTTTTGAGGGTAATGTCTTCGACTAGATACGATCTTTTGACGTATCGTTGTAAGAAATCGGTTCGGTGAGAGCTAAGAAAAAGTGGTGACAAA